CTATAGAAAAGCTGAGATCCTCAGATCATCGGCAATGACTCATTGGCCCCTTAAGTCGTCTATAGGGACTCACTGGCCTCTCTGCTCGCGTGTGGGGGACTTATTAGCCTCTCAGCTCATCTATACGGTCCCAATGCCCCTTAACTAGTCTATGTCGACTATTGGTCTCTTAGGTACTTACTGACTGGTCTATAGAGAATCAGTGCGTCTATAGAAACTCCCTTGGACTTCAGCTCCCCATGCCCCCTATAGGGATTCACTGTCGACTCAGTACGTCTTAGAGACTTACTGATCCTTAACCTCATCTATGGGGACTCACTGGCCCTTCAGTTGTTTTATGGAGACTCACTGGACTTCAGCTAAACTATATAGGCTTCCTTGACTGCAGCTCATCTATAACGATTCCAAGGACTTCAGTTCGTCCATAAATACTCCCAGTACTTCAGTTCGTCCAAAAAGACTCAGAGCTTCAGTTCAGTAGAGACTCCCTGAACTTCAGCTCGTTTTTAAAGTCTACCTGGACGTCTATAGAGACTACCTGGTTGTCAGCACGTCTATAGAGATTCCCTGGTCGTCAGCTTGCCTATAGAGACTTCCTGAACTTCAGGCTCCATGGACTTCAGCTCGTATATAGAGACTCCTCGGACATTAGCTCATCTATAGAGACCCCCTGGTCGTCAGGTCGTCTGCAGAGACTCCATGGTCGTCATCTCGTCTATAGAGGCTCCCTGGGCTTCAGCTCGTCTTTAGAGAATCCCTGGACTTCAGCTGGACTATAAAGACTCCTGGTCTTCAACCCTATATATACTCTACGGCGCTGCAACTAGTCTACTTATACTTCAGCTCGTCTATAGAGACTCCTTGTTGCTTAAACACGTCTATAGAGACTCCCTGGTCGTCAGCTCGTCTAAGAGACCCCTTGACGTTTCAGCTTCTCTACATGGATTTATTGGCCCTTCAATTCGTCTATATATATACCTTGGCCCTTCAACTCATCTATATAGACACCTTGGCTCCTCAGATCTTTATAGACTTCTTGGCCCTTTAACTCGTCTATGTTGCCTCCTTGCGCCTTCAACTCTTCTATAAAGACTTCTTGGCTCTTAAACATAGCTATTTAGGCTCTTTTGTCCATCAACTCATCTATGTAGATTCCTTGCCTTTAAACTCTTCTATCCAGATTCCCACCCTTCAACTCGTTTTTATAGACTCCTAGTTTCTTCAACTCTTTATATAGACTCCCTGGGTCTTCAACCCATCTATATACATTACTTGGTCCAGTATATAATATATATTAATATAAATTTTTCCTTGGCAATTTAGTCCGTCTATATAGACTCTTTGGCCCTTCAACCGCTCTATATAGACTTTCTGGCCTTTCAACTGGTCTATAATAACTCCTTAGCCCTTCGACTTGTCTATCTAGACCCCTTAGCCCTTTAACACATCGATATAGACTGCTTTGCCCTTGGCCCATAACTCGTCTGTACAGACTCCTTACCAATTCTTGGCCCATAGCTCGTCTGTACAGACTCCTTAGGCCTTCAGCGCTTCTATGTAGATTCCATGGTTCTTTAAGTCTTCTATATTGACTTCTCTGTACTTTAGCATGTATATTTGAACTCTTTTATCCTTCATATCACTTTTGCAGATTCCTTGGTCGTTCCACTCGTCAATTGCACTATTTGGCCTTTCAGCTCGCTTATAGCGACTCCTTGACCCTTCAACTCGTCAATGCACACCCTTGGACCCGTCTACTCGTGTCAGACTCTCTCGCCCTCCAAACCTTATATACAGACATCTCTGTATAAAATCCTACAGAGATTCCCTTCAGCTCGTCTAAAACGATTTCCTTGAGATTTTTTTTATCACAAAATTTTTTTGAATCGTTCCACTGTGCCGCATCCAACATGTGGTCAAAAATAGGCATGCAAAAACCAAAAACAAATAAAATTTCTGTGTGTCGGATATTGAAATCTGGCTAATTTATCGCCAAACAGACTAAACTAAACCAAGTCAAATAGAATCTAGTGAATTGATGACATCAACAAGAATACATCTATACATGTTTTTGTAGATTTCAAAGGGGGTGGGGTGAGGTCAGCGAAGATTTAATGTCCCATTTTCTAATCCAAACAATTCTCAATTTAATTTTCGGAAAACCCCCACAAAAAAAGGAAACAACATCTGTTCGTTTAGTTCATTGATATTTGCACGTGCATTGTTGTCTAGCCGGGTGGAGCTAGTCATCCGTCAATCGATTCATCAGTTTGTGTGAAGATCCCCACGGGAATAGAGGGAATTTCGCAGTGCCAAGGTGGTAGTGGTGGTTGTTCGATTGTCTGCTTGTCGGCGCTTTTTTTTTGGTATAAAACAGCCAGCGTGTGTTTTCGGTTTTTCTTTTGAGTAAAAAGTTGCCTTGCATTTCCATAAATAGTTCAGTGTCTGCAGCAATAACAACTGTTGCAGCGACCATTATCAAATAAAACAACAACAACGACAACATGTGAGTATACGTTTGGTTAAATTTGATTTGTGTGGCTCACTTTCTTCAAAGTGACTGCAATCGTCCATAAGTGGAACACTTGAAGACACCTGCACGTTATGTGAATACAGGGGCAATGTCTCTCGCCTCATTGAACAGTGGGGGATATTTTTTGAAATGAAATGGAAGAACACGAAAATGAGAAGAATTGATAAGAATCACTACAGACGCCCTGAAGTGATGAGCCCACACAGAAGATGTTGATGTAGGCGAATTACCGACCACAAAAAGAAGAGTATCTATAGAAGCGCTGAAAAGAGCATTTCCCAAAGGCCGAAGGAATTTTTATGGACGAAGTGAAGAGAGTCTTTATAGATGTTCGTATAGACAATCAGAAGAGCCAAGGAGTCTCTATAGACGAGTTGAAGGGTCAAGGAGTCTCTATAGACGACTTGAGGAGCCTAGAAGCCTTTATAGACGACTTGTAGGGGCAAGGATTCTATCTGGACGAGTTGAAGGACCAAGGAGTCTATAGAGACGAGATGAAGGCCCATGGTGGCTTTATAGGAGAGATGAAGGGCCGATGAGTCTTTATAGAAGTGTTGAAGGGCCAAGGAGATTATAGAGACAAGTTGAAGGACAAAGGAGTTTATGTAAACGCTTGAAGGGCCAATGAGTCTATATGGACGAGTTGAAGGGGCAAGGAGTCTATATAGACCAGTTGAAGGGCCAAGGAATCTATTTAGGCGAGTTGAAGGGCCAAGAAGTCTATATAGACGGGTTGGGGCCAAGGAGCCTATAGAGATGAATTGAAGGGCCAGGGAATCCATTTAGGCGAGTTAAAGGGCCAAGGAGTCTATATAAACGAGAGGAGGAGCAACGAGCCTATATAGACGAGTTGAAAGCCAAGTAATCTTTATAGACGAGTTGAAGGGCCGAGGAGTCTATAAAGACGTGGTGAATGGCCAGGGAATCCATTTAGGCGAGTTAAAGGACCAACGAGTCCATATAGACGAGTTGAAGGGTCAATAAGTCTATCTGGATGAGTTGAGGGGCCAAGAAGTCGTAATAGACGAGCCGAAAGGTCCAGGAGTCTATACAGACGAGTCGAAGTGATAAGGAGCTAATATAGACGACTTAAGGGACAAAGGAGTCCATCTGGAAGAGTTGAAGGGCCAAGGAGTCTATATAGACGAGTTGAAGGACCAAGGAGTCTATAGAGACGAGTTACTGGGCAAGGAGTGTATATAGACGAGGTGAAGGGCCAAAGAGTCTATACAGATGAGTTGAGGGACCAAGAAGTCGTAATAGACGAGCCGAAAGGTCCAGGAGTCTATACAGACGAGTCGAAGTGATAAGAAGCTAATATAGACGACTTAAGGGACAAAGGAGTCCATCTGGAAGAGTTGAAGGGCCAAGGAGTCTAAATAGACGAGTTGAAGGACCAAAGAGTCTATCTGGAAGAGTTAAAGGGCCAAGGAGCCTATTTACACGAGTTGAAAGGAAAAGGAGTCTATATAAAAGACTTGAAGGGCAAGGAGCCTATATAGGCGAGTTGAAGGGCCAAGGAGTCTATATAGACGAGTTGAAGGGCCAAGGAGCCTATTTAGACGAGTTGAAGAGCGAAGGAGCCTATAAAGACGAAGAGCCAACGAGTCTTTATAAATGAGTTGAAGGGCCAAGGAGTCTTTATAGACGAAGTTGAAGGTCCAAGGAGTCTTTATAGACAAGTTGAAGAGCCAAGGATTCTATCTGAAGGAGTTGGAGTACCACGAGTTGAAGAGCGAAGGAGCCTATAAAGACGAGTTGAAGTGCCATGGAGTCTATAAAAACGAATTGAGGGCCAAGGAGTCTAGACGAGTTGAAGAGCCAAGGAGTCTGTACAGATGAGTTGAAGGGCCAGGGAGTCTATACAGATGAGTTGAAGGGCCAGGGAGTCTATACAGACGAGTTGAAGGGCCAGGGATTCTATCTGGACGATTGAAGTGCCAAAGAGTCTATATAGACAAGCCGGAGGTCAGGGAGTGTCTATAGACGAGTTGAAGGGCCAAGGAGTAGGGAGGCTTTTTAGGCGAGATGAATTGAGTCCCCCTGGTTGAATTAAAGTGAGTCTCTCAAGATGAAGCTGAAGTAAGTGTTTCTCTCTATAGCCAGGCTGACGATGAGCTAAGTAGTTGAATGTTATATTTATGGACTTTTTGATGAGGCACCTGGAGGGGATGACTAAGGCACTAAGAATATTGAACAGATCTCTTTCTCCAATATTCCCCCCACTGTCATTTCCATCGTTGGCAGATATTTGCAAATAAATGCTCAAGCGATAAATAAATGCTGAGCGATGGTGTAAACATCAATTAGCGCATAACTTAAGTAATTAGCCAGTAAAACGCTGGTCGGAAAAGGCAAAACAACTTTTGTTTTGATTTTTGCGAATTGAGTGATTTTCTTTTTTACTCCTCCATAACGGCATGAAAATAATATCTCGTTTGTTTCTTCTTCTTCTTCTTTCTTACAGAGGAGTAGCCGCTATCACAACTATCGTCACAATCAACGCTCTCAGTCGCTAAATCGCGGCCAAACTCTATCACAGGCAGACGTAAGCGGGATGTGGTGACATCGGGGTGCATCAGGTAAGTGTGTGTGGACGATGATGCCGTTGGTGGCCACGGCTTCTCGCCTTTGATTTCCGACCGATGTGGTGTTAATTTGTTGTCGATTTTCTTCTTTGTTTGTTTTTATTTTTGCTTCAATTAAAACTTTCCACCTTCAAGCAGCTCAATCTAGTGGCTGTGCCAGCTGTGCCATGGGCAACAAGTTGAGCTGCTCATGTGCGCCCCTGATGCGCAAAGGAGGCTATCGTTATGAAGATTCACCATGGCAAAGTTCGCGACGACGAGATGGTCATCTATTGAGGTAAGTAAATTCGATGGGATGGGTTGATAAATAATTGCTTTGGCCTTGGGCGCCATTTAGTAATAGGCGTGATTTTGCCAACACCTTGTTATTAAATATTAATTTGGGGTTAAAGGCATGCCGAAAAGTGGAGGAATAATTTGATTCAAAGTCTTATAGACCAGTTGAAGGGCCAATGAGTTTTAATAGAAGGGTTGAAGGGCTAAAGAGTCTTTATAGACGAGTAGGAGGGGCAAGGAGGGTTTATAGACGAGTTGGAGGTCCAAGGAGGGTTTATAGACGAGTTAGAGGGCCAAGGAGTCTTTACAGACGAGCTGAAGTGCCACGGAGTCTGTACAGACGAGTTGAAGGGGCCATGAGTCTTTATAAAAGAGTAGAAGGGCCAAGGATTCTTTTTAGATGATTGGAAGGGCCAAAGGTTCTTTATAGACGAGTCAAGGGCCAAGAAGTCTTTATAGACCTTTGACGTCGAAGTAGTCTTTATAGATAAGCTGACGTCTAAGGTGTCTCTGACGCTAAGGGAGTCTCTAAAGACGAGCTGACGTCGAGAGATTCTCTATAGACGAGCTGTCGTCGAAAGAGTCCTATAGACGAGCTGTCGTCGAAAGAGTCCTATAGACGAGCTGTCGTCGAGAGAGTATCTATAGACGAGCTGACGTCTAGGGAGTCTCTATAGACGAGCTGACGTCTAGGGAGTCTCTATAGACAAGCTGAAGGTCAGGGAGTCTCTATAGACAAGCTGAAGGTCAGGGAGTCTCTATAGACGAGCTGAAGGTCAGGGAGTCTCTATAGACGAGCTGAAGGTCAGGGAGTCTCTATAGACGAGCTGAAGGTCAGGGAGTCTCTATAGACGAGCTGAAGGTCAGGGAGTCTCTATAGACGAGCTGAAGGTCAGGGAGTCTCTATAGACGAGCTGAAGGTCAGGGAGCCTCTATAGACGAGCTGAAGGTCAGGGAGTCTCTATAGACGAGCTGAAGGTCAGGGAGTCTCTATAGACGAGCTGAAGGTCAGGGAGTCTTTATAGATGAGCTGAAGGTCAGGGAGCCTCTATAGACGAGGTGAAGGTCAGGGAGTCTTTATAGACGAGTTGAAGGGACAAGGAGTCTTTATAGAAGAGTTGAAGGGACAAGGAGTCTTTATAGACGAGCTGACGTCGAGGGAGTCTCTATAGACGAGCTCTATAGACGAGCTTTTTTTTTTTTTTTTTTTTTTTTTTTTTTTTTTTTTTTTTTTAGACGTAATGGTAGCATGCTACCAATAGTGGTCCTACACAGGAACCAATACCCCGGGACCGCTTTCGCATTACTTCGGGGTACAGTTCATTGACTGGTCTATGCCTTCATATTTTATCTACTCCCCCATCCACATTTTCATACTATGATTAGGGGTTCGCTCGTTGTCTTCTCTCGTGAAGACTTTTCGCCGTCATTATATCTTGGATATAATGAGTATATTTCACCCATTGTTCTTCTGATTCCAGCATTCCTATTACTGTTGCTTTTAAAGAGCTATTATTGTTGACACATATTCTATGTGCAAGCCGTTTGCTTTCATTGTACTCACATCTGAAGACTGTGTGTTCTACGGTGTCTTCATATAGTCCACAAGCTGTACAAATTGGATTTTCTTTAATATGAAACCTATGTAAGTATGTGGCAAAATTTCCATGTCCGCTAAATATTTGGGACAGGAAGAAATTAAGTTCTCCGTGGTTTCGTTTTGTCCATGTTTCTATAAATGGGATTAATTCGAATGTATGTCGTCCTTTTGGGCAGTTTTCCCAGCTTTCTTGCCATTTTTGGTTTAATATAGCTTCCATCTTTATTTGCTGCAGCTCTTGGCTACTATGAATGCATGACAGGCATTTCCGACGGTCGTAAACATATTTTCTCTCCTCAAATTGCTGGATTATTGGTGGTATGCCAGATAATACCGACAGTGCTGCGGTGGACACTGTTCGGTATGCGGATGTAACTCGAAGTAGACATGCACGGTGTACTTTCTCAATCATATTAGTCAACTTTTTACTTCTCGCAATGGCATCACTAATAACAGGAGCTGCGTACAACATTTGTGCATAAGCAACCGTTATTATCAATCTTCTGACCAGTTGTCCTGGACCTTTCAATTTGGGCATTAGGCGTATTAGTTTGCTTGCTGTTGATAATGCCTTTTCTGCAATTCCTTTAACGTGGGTTTCAAAAGACAGTTTGGAGTCCAAAAATACTCCCAGATATTTCAAACTTTTGCTTATGGTAACCTCATGTCCGTCCACCATTAACTTCGGATTGACGAATGCACGTCTCCTAGTTATTATAATTGCCTCTGTTTTGTGAGCAGCGAGTGATAATCTTTTTGATGTCAGCCACCTGGAGATTCGTGAGAGGCAGTCATTCGCAACTATTTCTATTAGTGGTGTTGTGGGTTGATCGACCAATAGTGCCACATCGTCTGCGTATCCAATAAGCTTTGTACCTTTCGGTAGATTCATATTTAGCAGATCGTCGTACATCAGGTTCCAGAGAAATGGCCCAAGAATAGAACCTTGAGGTACGCCTGATGAGATTTTATAGCTTTGGACTCCTAATATGGTATCAAACAGCAGAATTCTATCTTCTAGATAACTGTCGATCATTTTCACTAGATAATGAGGAATTTGGCGTTTTCTAAGCGTTTGTCGTATTACGTTCCAGTCAGCCGAGTTAAATGCATTTTTAATATCCAGGGTGATAACTGCACAGAAGCGTTTTTGATCCATGGATTTTTTTGATGTTTCTACCACTTCATTTATAGCATCTACAGTAGACTTTCCTTTAACAAATCCAAACTGCAGGCCAGAGAATCCTCCTCTTCTGTTTATTTCTGCTTCTAGCCTATACAGTAATAATTTTTCTAAAAGCTTTCCACAGGTGTCGAGCATGCAGAGTGGTCTGTAGGACGACGGGTTGTCCAATGGTTTATTGCTTTTTCGGAGTAGTACAAGTTGTTGCTTTTTCCATGCACTTGGAAAAATACCCGTATCGAGACATTTGTTGAAAACATCTAAGAGAAGTTCAGGCCACATGTTTCCAAGAAGTGCGACTACCTCGTTTGGTATTCCGTCTGGTCCTGGTGCTTTCTTTGTTTTAAGCTTTTGGCAGGCTTGGCGTACTTCCAGCACGGTAAACCGTGGTGCGTTTTGTTCTTCCTCAAGTGGTATACTTTCTCGTGGTATAGCACTTTTCGGGAATAGTGTGGTTACAATAGTTCGTGCCCACTCTGGATTTTTTATTCCTGGTATACAGTTTCGGTTACCTACCCTTTTCATTACTATCTTGTAAGGAAGACCCCATGGGTCATTTTGAACTTCTTCGCATAAAGATACCCAGGCTTTTTTCTTGGACTCCTTTATAGCTGCCCGTAGGTTACGTCTGGCATGTCTATATATTTCCATTGCTTCCGTGTCGCCCTTTTTTCTAGTAGCCGTTCTTTTGGTTTTATGGCACGTTTTTCTTAATTTAGCGATATCGTCGTTCCACCAGTAGACTTGTGTTTTGTTTTTGCCCAGTACAACAGTTTTGGGGATACCTGCGTCACATATTTGAGTGAGCATATTACCTAGGTTGTTAACTGTAGTGTTTATGTCTTCCATATCGTTTTTTTCATAACTCGCTTTCAAATCCAATAATTTATGTGTGCATCTTTCATGGCACATCTTCTTTGTGTTCCATCTTTGCCTGGGGGTGTTTTCAGAGGTAGTGTTTTGCGTTATGGTCATCATAATGTATTGGTGGTCGCTTAATGTTTCTTCTGTTAAGACCTCCCACTGGCATATTTTTCTCGCAATTGATAGTGAGCCGAGAGTTATGTCGATTATGGAGTTTGCCTCCCCTCGTTGAAAGGTTGGGGTATTTCCTCTGTTAAGGACTATTAGTCCCAGCGATGCAATCATCTCACTGACAGCTACTCCTCTTCTGTCCGTTGTTCTTGAGGACCACTCCGATGACTTACTATTAAAATCGCCTCCAATAAGTACTGGTGTGTCATAACTTCTAACGTGTTGTACAAGTTTATCTATTTTATTAAGGAATTCCGTTATTTCTATATTTGGGGAGAAATAGCAACTGTATATTCGAAAGCCGTTCATGTGAACAACGACGAAACTTTCTTCGCTTTCCTCTACTTTTGTAATATTCAGGAGCGGGTTTCTTATGTACACAGATGCTTTGCCTTGTTTATCTTGGTACCAATTCTTTGACTCACATTTTCTATATTGTTCGCTTATAAGAACTATGTCGGTATCTTTTTCGTCCGCGTTCCGTACCATAAGGTCCTGAGCTTGGCGCCCTCTGCCCAGGTTTATTTGGAGTATCTTAAGTGGCATATCTACAGGTAATGCTTGTACCCATATAATGGTTTATGTCACTTTTACCAGCCTCAAGACATATAACACATCGTGGAAGGCTTGTGCATGTATTCGATTTGTGTCCATTTATCCCACACCTCCTGCACATTTGACTTCTGTCTTTTCCTTTACAGAATCGGGCTACGTGACCTTCTTGTAGGCATCTGAAGCATCGTTTCGGATAAATCTTTCTTCGGACTCGGCATATTACTAATCCCACTTTGATTTTACTGAGTTTTAGGACCTTTTCAGCTATGTGCCCAGGGACTTCAACTAGTGCTTGTTTTGTTCCGCCGTAGAAGTTTCGTATGTTACGAACCTTTATTCCCTCGGAATTACTTTCACATGATGTTTCCATTATGCTTGAGATAATTTCATTGTCCTCAGTTGTTTCCTCTAAATCTCGGATGTCCAGGAGGAATTTCTCTTTTTGGGTTTGAACAGTGATGTCTTCTCCCAGCGATGTCTTGATGGCGTATTCAAGCTTCTTAGCATGTCCATCCCCTTTTCCCAGTTCAATGTGCACGTTTCCGTCCTTCGTTTTGTGAATTTTCTTTATGCCAACTCCGATTTCTTCTGGTTTTATAGAGGTTTTCATTTTTTTAAGAATGTCTGCATAACTGCAATTTCCAGCTTGAATTGTAAGAGACTCCCCCTTTGGTCTTACTACGCTTTTTTGACGATCAGGTTTATTTTTGGTATTGTTTCGCCTTCTCGTCACTGTTGACCATTGTAGTGCACTTTCCCCTACAGTTTTTTCCATCTCGAGTCCGGAAGTTCGCACCTTTTTGTTTGACTTATTTTTTTCCGGGGATATGGATGCATTTCTTTTTTGGTTGCTCCTGAGGGTTATTTCATCGACCTCGGTTTGCACTTCTTTATTCTCATATTTTGTGTATTTATTTCCAGGGACATCTCCCACGACTCCGTTTAGAGCTATTGCTTCTCTGTTTTCACGTAGCTGCTGGTATAGTGCTACTGCCTGCATGAGGTTGTCCCGTATGGTCTTATGAATATTCTTAGCTTCGCTTACTATAGAGTTCATCGCGCTTAGTTTGTTGCCAAGTCTGACGAAGGCAGTCTCTTCCTCCAGTTTGAGGCGGGTAATATAGTTTTCGCCATATTCTCCATTTTTATCAACAGTGCTGGTGCTTCTTTGCAAAATGTTGGGAATTGTAGTTATTGTTTTGGGTGGTGTTCTTATCGTAACTCCACTGGGTTTGAATGGGTTATTCAGTCTGTTATCTTCAAGTGCGTTGTTATTGTTCATGCTTCACTGGATCCTAACTCAAAGCCGTTATCTCAGATCGTTGTGTAGTAACGTTTGTGGTCTCATGGTTGTCTATGCATGCAGGGAGGCCATGCGAGGGTTGACGAAGAATCTTTATGAGTTTCGACGTTCAGAGCCAGACCCGTACAAACCAGGACAAAGTCAACTGGACCTACACCACCAACCTAATGGTGACGAATCTGGGAGCGTTCTTTGAGACTTCCCAAGTTTTAATAGGATGGGGGCAGTTGCAGCATTTGCCCAGAAGCCGTTTCGGTTAGATTTCACTCCACTTACTCGGGTTCTAGAATACTACAACCGTCAGGCCAAGAGTCAATATGTTACGATCACGTGTTCCAGTATACCATAATTAAGATCTTACTGGTCTCGATCTTAATGTCCAAAAGGACGGACGATGAGAAATGCTGCCGCCCCTACTGAGGTCAGACGCAGACCAGCAAGCCACCCACTATGGGTCAGACGCTGCTGGATTTATTTGCAAGCTAATTGCCTGCCAACTGGGGTCCGCGGGGTCGTTAAGCCCGTTTTCTCTAATGAGAATACCTTGCGGTATAGACGAGCTGAAGGTCAGGGAGTCTCTATAGACCAGCCGAAGATCAGGGAGTCTCTATAGACCAGCTGAAGGTCAGGGAGTCTCTATAGACCAGCTGAAGGTCAGGGAGTCTCTATAGACGAGCTGAAGGTCAGGGAGTCTCTATAGACGAGCTGAAGGTCAGGGAGTCTCTATAGACGAGCTGAAGGTCAGGGAGTCTCTATAGACGAGCTGAAGGTCAGGGAGTCTCTATAGACGAGCTGAAGGTCAGGGAGTCTCTATAGACGAGCTGAAGGTCAGGGAGTCTCTATAGACGAGCTGAAGATCAGGGAGTCTCTATAGACGAGCTGAAGGTCAGGGAGTCTCCATAGACGAGCTGAAGGTCAGGGAGTCTCTATAGACGAGCTGAAGGTCAGGGAGCCTCTATAGACGAGCTGAAGGTCAGGGAGTCTTTATAGACGAGTTGAAGGGACAAGGAGTCTTTATAGAAGAGTTGAAGGGACAAGGAGTCTTTATAGACGAGTTGAAGGGACAAGGAGTCTTTATAGACGAGCTGACGTCGAGGGAGTCTCTATAGACGAGCTGATGTCGAGGGAGTCTCTATAGACGAGCTGATGTCGAGGGAGTCTCTATAGACGAGCTGATGTCGAGGGAATCTCTATAGACGAGCTGACGTCGAGGGAGTCTCTATAGACGAGCTGACTTCAAGGGAGTCTCTATAGACGAGCTGACTTCAAGGGAGTCTCTATAGACGAGCTGACTTCAAGGGAGTCTCTATAGACGAGCTGACTTCAAGGGAGTCTCTATAGACGAGCTGACTTCAAGGGAGTCTCTATAGACGAACTGAAGGTCAGGGAGTCTCTATAGACGAGCTGAAGGTCAGGGAGTCTCTATAGACGAGCTGAAGGTCAGGGAGTCTCTATAGACGAGCTGAAGGTCAGGGAGTCTCTATAGACGAGCTGAAGGTCAGGGAGTCTCTATAGACGAGCTGAAGGTCAGGGAGTCTCTATAGACGAGCTGAAGGTCAGGGAGTCTCTATAGACGAGCTGAAGGTCAGGGAGTATCTATAGACGAGCTGAAGGTCAGGGAGTCTCTATAGACGAGCTGAAGGTCAGGGAGTATCTATAGACGAGCTGAAGGTCAGGGAGTCTCTATAGACGAGCTGAAGGTCAGGGAGTCTCTATAGACGAGCTGAAGGTCAGGGAGTCTCTATAGACGAGCTGAAGGTCAGGGAGTCTCTATAGACGAGCTGAAGGTCAGGGAGTCTCTATAGACGAGCTGAAGGTCAGGGAGTCTCTATAGACGAGCTGACGTCGAGGGAGTCTCTATAGACGAGCTGAAGGTCAGGGAGTCTCTATAGACGAGCTGACGTCGAGGGAGTCTCTATAGACGAGCTGAAGGTCAGGGAGTCTCTATAGACGAGCTGAAGGTCAGGGAGTCTCTATAGACGAGCTGACGTCGAGGGAGTCTCTATAGACGAGCTGACGTCGAGGGAGTCTCTATAGACGAGCTGAAGTCGAGGGAGTCTCTATAGACGAGCTGAAGTCGAGGGAGTCTCTATAGACGAGCTGAAGTCGAGGGAGTCTCTATAGACGAGCTGAAGTCGAGGGAGTCTCTATAGACGAGCTGAAGTCGAGGGAGTCTCTATTGACGAGCTGAAGGTCAGGGAGTCTCTATTGACGAGCTGAAGGTCAGGGAGTCTCTGCAGACGAGCTGACGTCGAGGGAGTCTCTATAGACGAGCTGACGTCGAGGGAGTACCTATAGACGAGTGGAAGTCTTGGAAGTTTTTCTGGCCGAGCAGAGGTCAAGCGAGTCTTTGAGGACGAGCTGAAGTCTTTATAGACGAGCGGACGACTAGGGAGTCTTCACAGACATTAAGTGGCGCCCAATCTGTCATCCTCAGCAAAAAGTTGTTATTTGCAAAATTCTAACATTTTCCCTTGCTATTTTCCTCCTACCCAGTTCATTCCGTTTATGGGCAGAGGTATTCCACGTCTCGGCCAGTGGAGCTGGAACGGTCAAATGGCAGCAAGTATCTGAAGATTTGGTTCCTGTTAATATATCATGCATCCAAGACACGCCCGAATGTGTCTTTCACATTACGGCCTACAACAGTCAGGTGGACAAGATATTGGATGTGAGACTCGTGCAACCAGGTGGGTGGGATGGCCAATTTTAAAATTATGACAATGCCTAGTTAATCCAATCTCCCGTTTCAGGTACTCGTATTGGTCAGGCATCAGAATGTTTTGTTTATTGGAAAGATCCCATGACCAATGATACGTGGGGTCTGAATTTCACCTCACCCATTGATGCTAAGCAATTTCGCGAATGCTGTGTAAGTATTAACCTAAACGGTAAAGCAAAGCCAACTTGGAATTTAAAAAAAAACAACAACAACAAAAACCAAAACAACAACAACATGCAGAACATCTACAACATTGTGGTAGAATACAAAAACAGCAACAACTGCTAATTACTACAACAACTACTTTTTCTATTACCTCCCACGAACTATACAAATAAATTTTTTCAAACCTTTTTAACAAAAACAACAACACCACCTCCAACAACAACACCAACAATAATAACCAAATAATTTTAAACCAAAATATTTAAACTCCAACAACAACAAGAAAAAAATGACATGCCTAACAACCAACCAAGTCCATCAATGCAAGGAATGAATGCCTGCCTCTCATCACCCGTCACCTGTCACAATGTCCAGCCTCTATCTCTCTCTTTCTCTCCAGGATATTACAGCCCGAGTGTCGCCCACCTGTCTTATCTATTTCTCTAAACCCCCCTCTACGCTTTCTTTCCTGCTTCCATCTCCATGTTTGCTTTGCTTTAACCGAGTATTGGCAAGGTTCAGAGTGCAAAAAATTCAATCACTTAAAAAACAAAAATATAAAAAAATATTATTTAAAAAAATCGAAACAAAATCCTGAAAACATTCGAACGATTTAGAAAATTTGTTGCAAAAAGGACGAAAATAATTGCTAATATATCGGTTAAGAAATTTTGAATAAATCTCACACATTTCTCACATTTCAAATTTTAATTCAGGCACTTAAATTAATTTTAAACAAGTTTCTTATTTTAAATTATTTATTTTTTTAATTTAAAGACCCTTAAAAATCCTACCGAAGTTCTCCTAGAGAGTTTCATAGACAGAGGACCTCCAAGAAGTCTTCTATACACAGAAGAACACTGAGAGAAGACCTCATGGAGGACCTCTATACATTGAAGATCTCTAAGAGATCTTCTATAGAAGACCTCTACCTATAGAAGACCTCTAAGAGAAGACCTCTGAGAGAATATCTCTGAGAGGTCCTCTATACATAGGAGACCTCTAAAAGATCCTAAGATGTCATACATAGAAGACGTCTAAGAGGTCCTCTGCACATAAAAGACCTCATGGAAGTCCTCTATACATAGAAGACCTCATGGAGGTCCTCTATACATAGAAGACCTCATGGAGGTCCTCTATACATAGAAGACCTCTAAGAGGTCCCCTACTCAGAGAAGACCTCTAAGAGGTCCCCTACTCAGAGAAGACCTCTAAGAGGTCCCCTACTCAGAGAAGACCTCTAAGAGGTCCCCTACTCAGAGAAGAACTCTAAGAGGTCCCCTACTCAGAGAAGAACTCTAAGAGGTCCTCTATACATAGAAGACCTCTAAGAGGTCCCCTACTCAGAGAAGACCTCTAAGAGGTCCTCTATACATAGAAGACCTCTAAGAGGCCCTCTATACATAGAATATCTCTAAGAGGTCCTCTATATATAGAAGACCTCCAAGAGGTCCTCAATACATAGAAGACCTCCAAGAGGTCATCTATACATAGAAGATCTCTTAGGGGTCCTCTAAACATAGAAGACCTCTGAGAGGTCCTCTGACATAGAAGACCTCATGGAGGCCCTCCGTACGTAGAAGACCTCATGGAGGTCCTCTATACACAGAAGACCTCTAAGAGGTCCTCTATACATAGAAGACCTCTAAGAGGTCCTCTATCTATAAAAGACCTATGAGAGGAGCTCTATCCATAGAAGACCTCTAAGAGGTCCTCTATACATAGAAAACCTCTAAGAAGTCCTCTATACATAGAAGACCTCATGGAGGTCCTCTATACAAAGAAGACCTCATGGAGGTCCTCTATACAAAGAAGACCTCATGGAGGTCTTCTATACATAGAAGACCTCATGGAGGTTCTCTATACATAGAGAACCTCTAAGAGGTCCTCTAAACAAAGAAGAGGTCTTCTAAACATAGAAGACCTCTAAAAGGGTTCTCTAAACATAGAAGACCTCCAAAAGGTCATCTATACATAGAAGACCTCTAAGAGGTCATCTATACATATAAGACATCTAAGAGGTCCTCTATACATAGAAGACCTCATGGAGGTCCTCCATACATAGAAGACCTCATGGAGGTCCTCTATACATAGAAGACCTCATGGTGGTATTCTATACATATAAGACCTCATGGATGTATTCTATACATAGAAGACCTCATGGAGGTCCTCTATACATTGAAGACCTCATGGAGGTCCTCTCCGTAGAAGAGCTCTAAGAGGTCCTCTATCCACAGTAGACCTCTGAGAGGTCCTCTATACATAGAAGACCTCTGAGAGATGCTCTATCCATAGAAGACATCTAAGAGGCCCTCCATACATAGAAGACCTCTGAGAGGTCCTCTATACATAGAAGACCACTGAGAGGTCCTCTATCTATAGAAGACCTCTAGGAGGTCCTCTATCTATAGAAGACCTCTAAGAGGTCTTCTATACATATAATACATCTAAGAAGTCCTCTATCCATAGAATACTTCTAAGGGGTCCTCTATACATAGAAGACCTCTGAGAGGTCCTCTATACATAGAAGACCTCTAAGAGGTCATCTATCCATAGAAGACCTCAAAGTGGTTCTCTATCCATAGAAGACCTGTAAGAGGACCTGTAGGACATATTTTCCTTTTTTCCGTTTTTTATTCGCATTTTCAAAATTGTTTTGCACAATTTAATCAATCTCCATGCACGGGCATCAATCCCCGATTTTGATTTTTAAAACTTCCAAAAACCCCCACACAGATATCCCCCCACTTTGTGGAAGCGCCAAATCAAACCCAACTAACCCTCTCTTGATTTGAGGTTTCCAGCAAATCGGGCTATCTGTGTCCACCGCCGATCGTTTCGAATTTAGTAAGGATTTTGTGGTTAAATTCCTTTTCTTCACCTCCAAAAAACCAAAAAAATGCACCATCAAAAACTAATTGGTAACTTATTTTTGAAAATCAAATATCCAAATTCAAATTAAAACCCAAACGAAGTAAACCAAAAAAGAAATAAATAAAACGGTTCTCAGTATACAAACGAAAAAAAACGCACACACCGAACCTTGTTAATCCCATACAACTAACCTAATGATAGTGCGACGTTTTACAGTCGCCTTCTTTCAAATTTTCACGAAAGGCCTCCTCGAGTTATTCGCTGAAATTGGATCCGCCGGGCAAGAGCAAAGTCAAAGCCAAACGAAAGCCGTTGAGTACCCCGGCCTCGCCATCCCGGGTGAGGAGTGAGCCGCAATGCACATGCATGACAGCCGAACAGTATGCACGCTTGCGAAATGATCCGAGGGTTAGGGGTAAGTGAAGGACATGCAAAAACACACACATTCAACTAATATAACTCCTCCTCCCCCTCTAGGTTCATCCACATTGCCACGTAATGTCGGCTCCAAGGTGGCCTCCGAAGCCGATGGCCAAACACATCAAAGGGTGACAAATGCCACAAGTAGCACTTCTCTTTATGACAATGTGGCCAGCGGTGGTGGCACTGGCGGTCAGACACTTAGCTCGGGCGGTGGTAAGCTGCTTAGATTGACAATCATGAGATTTTCTTATACAAAATTAAATTTAAATTTTTTAGATACCCTTGGGCGCCAAATCAAGCCCCAGGACACTGCGGCCACAGCAAATGGCAGCGTTTGTGCTGGTACAGCCGCACCTGGCGGTGCCGGTGCTAGTACCGGTGATATTTGTACTCAAAATCATGTCGGCTCTCAGGCCGGCCCCGAAGACGCCTTGGCCGGCCAAAGTGATGTCGACATGCCAAAGAGCGAAGGTACCCAGGCCGGTGGGCCAATGCATCAGTCGGTGGGCACATCAACCAAATCAACTGGTACCAGGACCAAAGAATACAATGAAGATATGGTGAGTATGGAAGGGGTACTAGAAGAAACTTTACAGGAATTATAAGAGATGAGTGCTACATAGGGAAGATGCAAACATTTTCCGATTGACATAAGAATTTGAGGCCTTCCCGTTGAAATTTCTTTGGGAATATAAACCTTGGGTAAGGTTTGCTATCTGTGGAAGGTATTTAGGGGGTGTTTTTATCTAAATTTTTGAAAGAGATTTCTTTACCAGAAGAATGGAATACAATGGTTACCTATCAAAAAATCTACCTTGGGAGAAGAGCTGTGGGTCGATTAGCTTATAGAAAAAGCCACTGAAGAGCTTCTGGATATAGAAAGCTATGCAGAAGTTCTATAGAAACCAGTAGAAGAACTTTTTATGTTTTTTAGAAGAAATCTAGAACTGGCCAGTGTTGTTTCCCTCTAGAAATCTTACCGAAGCACGTTTACATATCGGAGGACCCTTGAAGGACTCTAGGATATCTCCTGCCTATGAAAGACCTCTATAGAAAATCTTCTCATCACAAATAACCCATAAAGGTTTTATCTACATGGAAGACTTCAAAAAAACCTTCTCTCCATAAAAGACCTGCAAAAAGGCTACTACACATAAAATTTCTTGAACAGATCTCTCAATATGAGAAACCTTTGGGAAGATTTTCTCGCCATTTCCAGTGCCTTCTCTCCATGGAGGTCCGTAAAAGATCATTTTCCCATAGAAAATCATTAAAGGTATCTCTCCATAAAAGACCTGTGTATAGGAGACCTTGAATTTTTTTTTCATGAAACCCGTTTGTAATTTTTCGCTTTAGACCTCCTATGGGGTTTCTCTCCATGAAGATGCTTTAGTATTTTTACTCCTTATTTTTTCAAAGATCTTCTAGCGAACTCCTGCGTAACGCTCTCTCCATAGAAACCATTCAAAAGGGGACTCTATCTTCAAAAAACCTTCACAAAAGGTGGATTCCCATACTCACTACCCTGGAAAATCGTCAAAAGATATCTAGAGAAGCTTTGAAAAAGATATTATTTTCCTAGAATTGTTAAACATCTCTCTTAGGGAGCCTTCAAAAAATGTACATGGAAGATCTTTGAAAGTTTCTTCTCTAGGTTAAAAACCTTCAAAAGACTTTAAAACCGTCAGAAGACTTCTTCAAACACCTTCTCTCCAAAGAAGAGATGGCATAAGTCTTCTATAATAAGACTTTCAAAAAAATGTCTCTATATAGAAGACTGTCAAGAAGTCCACACACTACAGGATAATTTTTTTTCGTAGACCTTCAAAATGCTTTCTCTCCATAGAAGACTCTTCAAAGATTTTCTCTTCATAAAAGACCCATATTATCTCACCATAAAACACATTCCAAAGTTCTTCTCTCCTTAGAAAACTATCAAGACGTCTACCCTCAAAAAGAGAATGGCCTGGAAGATATTCAAAGAATTTTCTCTGCGTAGGAAACTTTCAAATGTTTTTTTTTTTCATAGGAGACTCCCACAAAAGCTTCTCTCTAAAGAAGACCGTTAAGAGATATTCTCTCTCATAGAGGACTGCCAAGAGTTCAGCTCTCTATAGAAGACCTTTATACAGCCCTTCATTAAGTCTTTCCTCTGTAGAAGGCCTTCTTCAAACCCTATCTGCATATAAGACCTTCAAAAGATTTTCTCCTCATAGACGACTTTCAAGTGGTTGTCCCTCCACAGATGGCCCCCTCCAGGTCTTCTGTCCCTCCACAGAAAAAAAAAATAGAAATTTTTTTTTATCTGAAGTCCGTTAAATGTCTTTCGTCCATAGAAGATCTCTAGGAGGTCTTAACGCCCAGTGAGAAGGTAGTTTTTTTCACAAAATGCCTTTGGAATTTCTTCAGCCCATAGGAGATTTATAAGAGCTCTTCTTTTTAGAGAAAGACGCTAATGGTCTTTTACCCACAGAAGACCTTCAAAAGATGTTCTCTTCAAGGAGACCTTTAAGCGACAGAAGGCCCTCCAATATTTTTCTCCCCACAGGAGACATTCAAAATGTAGTGTCTACGGGAAAACCTGCAGAAAATCTTCTTTCAATATCAGATCCGCAAATAGTCTTCTCTCCATAGAAATATTTTCAAAGTCCTTCCCTCCACCGAAGACCGGTAGAATGTCTTCTAGCTATAGAAAACGTCATGTCCTCAGATCTCAGCAGGGTCTACTTACTAGACCCTCAGGAGGGTCTACTTACTATAGAAGACTTGTGAAAAAACCATTGTCATAGAAAAACTTCTGAGAGATTTTCTGTCTGCAGAACTACATCCCACATAGTATTTTGTGTATAGAAAATGGGTGGAGGGTATTTTGATGTATATGTTGTCTTACCTATTGAGGATCTCTAGAAATTCTTTCTATAGAAAATATCAAAAAATTATTCTGTCATTAGAAAACCTTTGGGATGTCGTCTGTGGTTTGGAGACATCTAAAATGTCCTCTGACTTAAGAAATCTTCTTAGAGTTTCCCGGTCCATAGAAACCTTCTGGGTGGTCTTCTGTCCTTACAAAATTTCTTGGGAGAATTTTGTGCTAAGAAGTCTTTGTTATTGTCATATTGCTTTAGAAGGACTCTGAAGACGTCTTCTCTTTGCAGAATATCTTTTGTCATCGGAGAAATTCTGAGAGGTTTTCGAAGATCTTCAGTCATTTGAATGTCTTATGTCTAAATAATTTTTTATATAAGATCTCTAGATGGTATTCCTTTATTAGGGACCCTCGGGAAAATCGTCTGTGCTTAGAACTCAACTGGAAAGTCTTTTGTCTCCTCTCTCAAAATTCATTTGTCTTTAAAAAAGTTTTTGGGAATCTTTTGTGCGTATAAGCCTTCTAATGGCTTTAGAAAACCACTGAAAGGTTTTTTCTCCACAGTCCAGCTGTGGAATGAAATGTTGTGCTTAGAAGCCTCCTTAATGGCTTTAGAAAACCACTGAAAGGGTTTTTCTCAACAGTCCAGTTGTGGAATGTCCCTTGTATCCAGAAAAAAGCGGGAGATAATTATGTGAATAGAAGAACGGCTGAAAGGCTTCTTTAGAAAAGTTTTTAGAGGTATTTATGCTCAGAAGCCTTCTTGCATGTCCTATGGCTTTAGCAGACCACAGTGCAGCCCTGGAGTGTCTTATGTCTCTAAGAAAAATATGAAAAGAATTCTGTTAATTGAAGTTATGATGAAAGACTTCTGTCTATAGAAGGTCTTATAGAAGCTTATGTGAGATTTTTTGTTTTCAGAGGATTTTTGGGAGGCCTTCTGTCTGTGGAAGTCATTTAAAGTGTATTTGCGTGTAGAACACCTCTATAGGATCATTTTCCATTAAAAAAATTCTGGAAGGCCTTCTTAGATTTGTCCTTTTGAAGATCTTCTGCCGTTAGAAACCCAGCTTTGGTATTAAAAAGATCCTTATAGGGTCTGTTAGCAAGACCTCCCATATAAAAATGAAAGACTTGCATATGGTCTGTGTGTAGGAGTAGTGTAAAAGATTTTCTGATTTCTAGAACTCATTTTCCAAAGAAGAATTAAAGAAATTCTTCTCTTCATAGAAGAACTCCCTCTATATAAGATCTCTACACCTTTTTTGAGAGAGTTTTTTGTCTGCAAGAGACTTCTGGAAAGAGTATTGAAGACTGCTGATAGGTGTTTGCCTCCAGAAGGTTCCTTGGAGGGTATTTTGTGGATAGAAGTGCTGTTGATAGTCTCTTGCCTATAGAGGACCCCTAGAAGTTTTAGAAGCTATAAGATTTTATGATTGAAGAAGATATCCCAAAATGTATGCGATCTAGGGCATCTGGAAGGTCTTTAGTTTTTAAGAAACTTTTGGTGATTTTTCTGTCATTAGAAGACCTTTTGGAGGATTTTCAGAAGATCTCTGATTTCTTTACAAGATCTCTAATGGCTTTTTTGTATAAAGAAAGCCTGTAGGTGGTGGTGGTGACCAGAGCATAGGAGGTTTGCAGAAAAATTCCCATATCCCAAAGATCCTAGAAGGTATCCTTCATTAGAAGACTTTTAGAATCTATCCTGCTTTTGAAAATCTCTTGAAGGTTTTCTATATTTTGAACATCTCTGGTTGTGGTTTTGACTATAGAAGACCACTGGGATAAATTCTCCCAATAGAATACCAAATGAAAAAGGTTTTCTGCATATAGAGCACCCTTACTGGGTCTATGGAGGAGCTCTCAAAGACCTAAGAGGTCTACTATTCATAAAATACCTCTCTGGAGGATCTTTTGCTATTAAAAATCCAGCTGGAGGTCTTCAATATTCAGAAGACATTTATATCTTCTGCTTTCTTTGCAAGACCTTTAATAGTTTTTTCTGCATGTAGAAGTCCTGTAGATGGTGTTCAGTGCATAGATGGTCTGCAGAAGAATTCCCAAATCCGAAAGACCAGCTGATAATATGTTGGCTCTAGGAAGTATCCTTCAAAGAATATCTTAGGAAAGTTTTCTGATTTTGAACACCCTTTAAAGGTCTATTCCAACTTTTGAACAGCTCTGGTCGACATTTTGAGACCTCTTGGATAAATTCTCTCATAAGACCTAAGGATTTTTTTTATGCATGGACACTTCTACAGGGTTTTCGCCCGTGGAATCATTCTTGAAGATCTGGGATTCATAACAGACCTTAAAAAAGTCTGTTGAGAATTGAAGACGTTTAAAAGACCATCTTGTTACTGGAGGGGGCAATTATTGGACCTGGGGATCATTATTTGACCTAGAGGCCATTGTTGGACCTGGGGGCTATTATTGGACCTGGTGGTAATTATCGAACCTGGGGGTCATTATTGGACCCTGGAGGTCATAATTGGAAATGGGGGGTCATTATTGTACCTGGAGGTCATTATTGAACCTGGGGGGTCATTATTGGACCTGGCGGGTCATTACTGGACCTGAGGTTCATTATTGGACCTGGAGGTCATTATTGGACCTGGGGGTCATTATTGGACCTGGGGGGTCATTATTGGATCTGGGTGTCATTATTGGACCTGGGGGTCATTATTTGACCTGGGGGTCATTATTTGACCTGGGGGTCATTATTTGACCTGGGATTCATTATTGGACCTGGGATTCATTATTGGACCAGGGGGTCAGTATTGGACCTGGGGATCATTATTGGCCATGGGGGTAGTTATTGGACCTGGGGGGTCATTATTGGATCTGGGGGAACATTATTGGACCTGGGAGGCATTATTAGACCTGGGGGTCTTCTTGACAATGAAACATACGTTTCTGTTTAAATCCTTGCACCCCATTTACCTCCCATTTGGCCCTTTAACTTAGATTGGTCAGTAAACTCTTAATTGTCGGCTATAATTGTGAGCTTATGACACATGCAACAGATTGCCTATACTGGTATGTAGCATAGATTATCCAAACATTGCATTGCGTATCAGAAGGGGAAATTCACGACAATTCCTTTGCCAAGACCTTTTTTCCGGAGTGGGCATAAACCTCACTAAAATCTATTGTTTTTGTCCATTTCTCTGCAGGCACGCGATCCACATGGGCACGATATGCATCAGCACCAGCACCCGCACCAACATCAGCACCAACACCAGCACAACATAATCAACAACAACACCAGACGCAAAACCAAAAGCACCGAGGACATGAACGTGGACACGAGCACCCTGAAGCGTATGCTCAAGCCCATGACCAGCACCGAGAGCCCGGTGACCTCGCCGGAGATGGGTAGACGTCGTTACAACTATTACAATGCCAATGCAACGAACACCTTTGGGCCGCAACACATGCATCAACATGCTGCCGCCATGGCTGCGGCGGGCATGGGTGGGCCACCAGGTGGGGCTGGTGGTGGTGGTGGCCCCGGCATGGGTGGCATGCATCACATTATGAACAACAACAATACACTGGGATTGGGTGGCGGTCGCAATGCGAATCAATCGTCACGATTTTCGGGATCAAGGTAAGTAGTAATGGGAGGTTGGCGGAAAATAAAAGAAAAAACGAAAAACAAAAGCAAATAACTTTCTACCGCCTGGCTGCCCCAACAGCGTGACATTTGCCAGTAACGGTTAACAAGTCAAACAGCAAACACCACGGCGTCGGCTAGCATTCGTAAAGCGTGTTACTATTTTTTTAATTTTTTCTCTTCTTTTCATTTGAATTTCTGTCAATACATTCCCTCGTGTCCCGCGGCCACCCCGACTTCCGCTCATCGTAGATCTTCCCATGAAATCGGCCGTGGCTATACACCACGCAATCTCTACTTGGAATTGGAACGTGAACGTAGCTGCATTGAGGGTTCACCACCCTCCGACAACGTTATGTTCGATAATCAATGTTACGCCACAACGCCCAGTTCGAGCAATGGGAATTCGGATCAGGATCAGTCATCGTATGGCCAACGTGGACCGGTGGGTGCAGGTGGCCAGAGGCATCCTCACCGTCATCAGGGTCCCAATGTGACCCCCACTCCGGGTAGCCCCACATCACGTCTGCTGTTGGAATACGAAATGCATTTGCGCAACACCCTGGCCAAGGGTATGGATGCTGAGTCGTATAGCTTGCACACCTTTGAAGCATTGCTGTCGCAGAGCATGGAGAATTTGGGTAAGTTTTGGCGGAGAGCTGTGGTAGTGTGAGTGTGCTACACACACACACACACACCACTAAGGAATTGTATTTCGTTTCTTGTTTTCCCATTAAGCTTTTTTAGATGTAGAAAAGAAGTTGTGTTTGGTTTTGAATTCAATTTTTGTTTAGAATTTTTTTGATTGAGTTTATGGTGCCGCCATACGCAATGCCTTCTTTTAGCCTAGTTTATGTGTTATTTTGATAATAATTTTTTTAGAAGAATTTTATTACAGACTTTCTTAATTTTTAGTGATTTTTTAATTACCAGATAACATTTCAGGATATTTTTATATCCTCCACCATACATAGTATGGAGGGTATGTTAAGTTCGTCATTCCATTTGTAACTCATCGAATGTGGATTTTTTAAATAATATTTTTTCAAAGAACAAAAGGACAAATAAGCGTGGATTTTTAAAGAATATTTTTTCAAGGATCAAAAGGACAAATAAGTGTGGATTTTTTAAAGAATATTTTTCAAGGACCAAAAGAACAATAAGATTTTAAAGAATATTTTTCAAGGACCAAAAGGAGAAATAAGCGTGGATATTTTAAAGAATATTTTTTCAAGGACCAAAAGGACAAATAATCCTGGATTTTTTAAAGAAAATTCTACACAAGGAGTTCCTTTTGAGTAATTTGAATGGAAGAGAATAGTATATAAATGTCTCCTTTATAACGGTACCCGCCTGATATTCGGAATTGTTTGAAATTCTATACAAGGAGTTCTTTGTGGGCATTTTACCTCCTGTATGATAATTGTCTATATAGATCCCCGATATCATATAGCCCCCATATAAAGATACCCTCGATATTCGGTATTTCGATAATTGTAGCCACATTTTTCAATGGAATTGTCTGAAATTCTACACAAGGAGTTCCTTGTGGGCATTTTACCGACTGTAAGAGAATTGTCCATATAGGTCCACGATGTCGTATATCTCCCACAGAACGATACCTCCCGATATTCGGGATTTTGATGATTGTAGCCACATTTTTCAATGAAATTGTCTGAAATTCCACACAGGGAGTTCCTTCTGAGTACTTTACCTCTTGGAAGAGAATTGTCTACATAGGTCTAAGATATCGGTATTTTGATGATTTCAGCGACATTTTAGAGCGGAATTGTTGCAAATTTCGTATTTAAAGTTTGAAGCTCATATTTAGTACTACAACCTACGACGGAATATAAGCAACATTATTCACCAGAGTTGTTTCAAATTTCGTATTTAGAATTCGTAATGGATACTACAGCCTAAGACAGAAAATTTTCTGTGCAGGCCCACGTCTTCGTATAGCCCACATAAAACGGTCCCTTCCTTTATTCGGTATTTTGATGTTATTAGCAACATTATTCACCGGAATTGTTTCAAATTCGTATTTGAAGTTCGGAGTTGGTACTACAGCCTATGACAAAAAATTACTTATGCTGGACCATGTCTTCGCATAGCCCCCTATATAACGGTTTTAATTTAAGTGGTTGATAGATCAAAACCCCAACAAGGTCTTTGGGTTCTCAGGGCAAATTTTTGAAACCCTCAGCCTTAGGGCTACAAGCCCAAATGTGTCTTATCGAAAGAATGGTTTTAGACTCTATTTAAATTCGGTCGAAATCCGTTATAGGACATTTGGAATTGATGTAGCCATGTCCGTTTTTTCGTCGATCTGCCAGTGTATGTTTCAGGCCGGCTGGAGCTCAAAATAACTCTAGGTTTTATAAAGCCTGGCAGTTGGCCTTGAATATCTGTGATTTTCGTTTTATTAAAAAACGGGAATCTGACCCTTAGATTGTTCGAAAGCACTGAAGATCGAGAGTTCTCAATTAATACGAATTTTCTTGAAGGTATAGTTAATATCGTAACAAATATCAAATAGGCCAATAAAAGTGCACGGATGCTACTTCAATCAATTATTTTCGATCCACTATTTTATGTGTGATGTGTGGTTTTAGAGACGTAAATGGTGCCGAAATTGTGTAAAATTCCTACTAAACATTTTTATTTTGAAAACAGATTACGATTTGCTAATTTTCCTAAAAATGTTGGGAAAAAGTCTATTGACAAAAAACCCTCCGTATACAAAAGAGATTTCCTGTAAACAGCGGTACACTATAGACAAAAGTCCTTCCCGAAGTCTTTAATAGAGAGACTACTTTCTGTGGGAAAAATACCTACGACATGTCGATTATCTAGAGATAGATTTTCACAACTTTTCTATAGCAAGAAGACATTCTATATGTCTTCTACAGGATGGAACTCCTTTGAAAGGCTTTCTATGAAGAGAAAATCTCGTCTTAAATCTTCCCATTACAGAAGACGTTTTTAAGGTCTTCTATCGTGAAATCATCTTTTGTAGAATCAACCTTTTTAAGGAATTCTGTGGAGCGAAGACATTTATACCATATATTATGAAGAGGGTACTTTTGGCAGGTCTCGCGTGGATTGAATAACTTTCGAAATTTTTTTCGAAGAAAAAAGCTAGTGAATGTCTTTTATGAAGAAAATACCTGTATATGTTCTTCTTTTGAGAAAATACCTCAAGATCTTCTGGGATCGTTCAAAGATCTTCCGAAAAATCAAAATATCTGCGGTCGTCTTAGTAGCGGAGATAAGTTTTCTGAAGTATTCTTACTGAGAGGAACTAGACCTGAAAAAGGCAGTTTATGGAGTGAAGGCCTTTTGAAAGTTCTCTATGGAGACAAGATTTCCTTGATGTCATGTAATGAGAGAGGATTTCTTGAAGATCTTTTATGAAGAGAAAAATCTTAGAAGGACTTCTATGGAGCGAAGACCTTTTGAAGGATCTGTAGTCTTCCATGACGAGGTCTCTGTAAAGTCTACTATGGATAGAAAATGGGTGTCTCCTATGAGGAGGATATAATTTGAAAGTCTTCTATGAAGAGATTACCTTTTGAAGATTTTTTATGGATAAAGATTGAAGAAGTCACATGACGTTCATATGTTCTATAAAAAGATCTTTTTAAGGTCTTCTATGTAGAAAACATTTTTGCTTTTTGCCCTATGGCTACAAAGGGTATAAAACATTTGCTACGGCCAAAAGGTGCAACGTCGACCCTAGATCTCATTGGACCAAATCCATTGCAGGACATTTTGAGTCAATCTAGAGATGTCCGTCCGTCTGTCTGGCTTGTGCGCACGATAACTCCCTAAGGGGGTATCCGGTTTGGTCCAAACTTGGTACATCGTAATATTATTATCTGTCCGTCCATCCGTCCATGTATTCTTGTGAACAAATTGCAGGTCGCATTTATTATCCAATTAAGATGAAATTTTGTAAACAATATTTGTTTGTCCCAAGGACGAACCCTATTGAAATTGGTGAGAATTGGTTCAAATTTAGATATGGCTCCCATATATATCTTCAAACGACTTCGGGTTAATTGTGCACCAAATGGCCAATATCAGCCCAAATGACCAGAATTTTGGTACATCCGACCGAATTCAGTCTAGAAGCAAGGACATCGGTTTAGATATAGCTATAGCTCCCATATATATATGTTTCACCCGATTTGGTGTTAAAGTCACTCACATACGTGATATGTACTCCTCAAGAATGATATTGGGTACCAGCCATCAGATACTGCTCGAAAATACCTCTGTCAAATTTCATCGAGATCGGTTCAGATTACGATATAGCTCCTATATATATTATTATCCGATATCAGGTTAATTGTGCATCAAATGGCTAATATCAGTCCAAATGACCTGAATTTTGGTACATCCGACCGAATTTAGTCTAGATGCAAGTACAGCAAATTTGATGAAAATCGATTTAGGTATAGCTATAGCTCCCGTGTATATGTTTTATCCGATTTGGGGTTTAAAGTCCCTCACATACGAAATATGAACTCCAGATAAGTATAGAATTCAAAATTACTTCTGTAAAATTTTATCGAGACCAGTTCAGATTAGGATATCTATCTTTAGCCGATTTCGGGTTGAGCTCCCATATATATGTTTCATCCGATTTGGGGTTTTAAGTCCCTCACATGCATAATATGCACCCTACAAGAATGATATTTGGTACCATATATCAGCCACAGCCCAGAAATACCTCTGCAAAATGTTATTAAGATCGGTTCAGATTTGGGTATAGTTTCCATATATATATTCAACCGATTTCGGGTTTATTGTGCAAATAATGGCTAATATCAAATGTAAAGTGGTGTAGGGTTTTATATAGTCGGCCCCACCAGACTTTTCCTTACTGTTTTTTTTTTCGGATTGGATTTTTTAATTTCTCGCGAATAATGGTAAGGCACAAGGGGTACAAAAAATCTGTGTTTAGGAATTAACATTCTGTACTCTGGAAAAGTCTTTAGCTCTTTTGAGTCTATTTTCTTCCAGTTGCAGTGTAAGTTCTTGCACTTTTTGGATTTTCAATGGCTTTTCCCCGAACTCATTTTTCAATATTTGCCGTATGGAATATTGCGATAGTTCAGCTCACGAGCCATTTTTCGGCCACTGCGACGCGGGTTTCGTTTAAGTCGCTTCTTTACTTTTCGAACCATTTTCTGCCAATGTGTCTATAAGTCCACCCTTAAGGGGTTCCTCCTTCCCACTTCTCTTTTCCCGGAATTTTGTGAGCAGGAATTATTTAAGAATATTCAGTTTTGTGTTGAATTCTTCGGTCATGGAGGAGAATAAATTTAACCTTTGCCCACGAATTCTCCAGAATAATTTTCTTGGGTGAAAAACAATGCTTTCCACTTACGGCCAAGTATTTTCAATTTCTAGCTCTAGTCACCTTAATTTCCTTCAAATTTTGTATGCTTTGTGTGGTAGCTTTTTGTTGTTCTTTTTTTTCGTTTCTGTTTCTTTCTTTCGAACTTTATTGCTCTAGATTTAAATAGAAAATAAATAAAATTACAAAAAAAAAAAAAAAAAAAACAAATATGAAACCATAATCATTTAACTTCATTCATTTTAATTTCATGTCACACGACCACAACCACCAACAACTACAACAAAAATTCACTTTTGCCATCAAATCAAAAAAATAAAAAAATATTCAAACGTGCATTTGAAATCACATCTCCAAAAATCGTCATGACAAACATAACGCCAAAAAAAAAACACCCATTACCGAACCACTGCTTTCACTGCGCAATCAAACAAAACAAACCATCATCAAATGTCAGAATTTGCCGAGAGTCTGCCTGGATCCATGCAACGTAGTCCATTTCCCATGCGTAGGCGTAAGTATTCTAAAAAAAGTATTTATTTTATAACTCAATTTAAAAATAAAAAAAAATATTGAAATCGTAAGCAATGCCAATTCGAGGTCTAGTGAAAATGTCAGTTCATTTTGCCACCGTTTTCCTTTTTTTTTTTTTGAAGTTCATGTGGAACCAAGCTGTGTTGCACGAGTCTTTTTTAACCTGAAGAAGTGATTTTTGTGTTTGTCTTAGTTTTGTTCCACTTTTTTGGGTTTCGTTTTTGTATTGAATTAAAATCAAGTCAAGTAAAAATTCAGAAAAAAAAATGCTGCACTGATTTCTTTTATTTTTTTCTTGAATGCACAATACATAGCTACAAAAATACACAATAATTTGAAATAATTTTAAATCAAAATAGTTTTGAAAAAAAAAAAAATAAAAAATTAATTTAAACTTCCACAAACGACACGGTTTTCTGTTTTGATCTGTTCTTCCTCTTTTTGCAAAATGAAACTGTCTCTCTCTAAAATCCAAACATAAACTGCTTCCAATATCTTTCGAATTCCATAGCTACAAGTGCTAAATCTTCTACTCTACCTTTGCCTCCACATCGTCCTATGTCCACAGTGCGTGAAAAGGAGCGGGACCGTGAACGTGATGGCTACTACAGTGATCGCAATGAATTGGTGCGTGAACGAGAGCGTGAAAGAGAACGCGAGAGGGGTTATCTCTCGGATCACAATACAAGGTGAGTTGAAATGAGAGAGAAGGAGAGCGAGAGAGAGAAAATTCATATAAATATCATTTTAGCTTCTCCAACTCCCGTTGCGCCTCGTGCATTGGTGAATCGGCTCGTGCCCAATGGTTCCGCCACTCGGACGGTTGGCGTTCTGGCAGCTCAACCATAGGCTCCGGTTCTGGCCAAGGTCTGATGTCGCAACAAACCAACAGTTCGGGCACTAAACGTTCTCCATGGGACTCGTTGCCCTCCTTGCGCCAGGATAGCAGCTTGAATGATTCGGGTTACAAGAGCGCCCGTGCTGATTCCTTGGAACAACGGTGAGTTTGAGAAGTGTTCATATTTTGGAAAATCTTTCGTAGACCGAATTTTTATAAAAGATAGAGGGAATCTAACAAAAACTATTTTTTTTAAAGTCACAATTTTTTCAAGTCCCCAAAATAAAAGTAGATTTTTCAAAAATATTTTTTCAAGTCCCCAAAATTAACGTAGATTTTTTAAAAATATTTTTTCAAGTCCCTAAAATAATCGTGGATTTTTTAAAATTATTTTTTGAAGTCCTCAAAATAAACGTGGATTTTTTAAAAATATTTTTTCAAGTCCCCAAAATGAACGTGGATTTTTTAGAAATATTTTTTCAAGTCCCCAAAATAAACGTGGATTTTTAAAAAAAAAATATTTTTCAAGTCCCCAAATTAAACGTGGATTTTTTAAAAAAAATATTTTTCAAGTCCCCAAATTAAACGTGAATTATTTTAAAAATATTTTTTCAAAGTCCCCAAAATAAACGTGAATTTTTTAAAACTACTTTTTTCGAAATCCCAAAAAAATAATAGAATTTTTAAAAATATTTTTTTAAGTCCCCAAAATAAACGTGGATTTTTTAAAAATATTTTTTCAAGTCCCCAAAATAAACGTGGATTTTTAAAAAAATATTTTTTCAAGTTCCCAAAATAAACGTGGATTTTTTAAAAAATATTTTTTCAAGTCCCCAAAATAAACGTGGATATTTTAAAAATATTTTTTCAAGTCCTCCAAAATAAACGTGGATTTTTTAAAAAATATTTTTTCAAGTCCCCAAAATAAACGTGGATTTTTTAAAAAATATTTTTTCATGTCCCCAAAATAAACGTGGATTTTTTAAAAAATATTTTTTCAAGTCCCCAAAATAAACGTGGATTTTTTAAATTTTTTTTTCAAGTCCCCAAATAAAAGTGGATTTTTTAAAAAATAATTTTTCAAGTCCCCAAAATAAACGTGGATTTTTTAAAAATATTTTCTCAAGCCCCCAAAATAAACGTGGATTTTTTAAAAATATTTTTCCAAGTCCCCAAAATAAACGTGGATTTTTTAAAAATATTTTTTCAAGTCCCCAAAATAAACGTGGATTTTTTAAAAATATTTTTTCAAGTCCCCAAAATAAACGTGGATTTTTTAAAAATATTTTTCCAAGTCCCCAAAATAAACGTGGATTTTTTAAAAATATTTTTTCAAGTCCCCAAAATAAACGTGGATTTTTTAAAAATATTTTTTCAAGTCCCCAAAATAAACGTGGATTTTTTAAAAATATTTTTTTAAGTCCCCAAAAAAACGTGGATTTTTTAAAAATATTTTTTCAAATCCCCAAAATAAACGTGAATTTTTTAAAAATATTTTTTCAAGTGCCCAAAATAAACGTGGATTTTTTAAAAATATTTTTTCAAGTCCCCAAAATAAACGTGGATTTTTTAAAAATATTTTTTCAAGTCCCCAAAATAAACGTGGATTTTTTAAAAATATTTTTTCAAGTCCCCAAAATAAACGTGGATTTTTTAAAAATATTTTTTCAAGTCCCCAAAATAAACGTGGATTTTTTTGAAAATATTTTTCTAAAACCCTTAAAAAATATAGATTTTTTTTAAATATTTTTCTAAAATCCTTAAAAAATATAGATTTTTTTTAAAATATTTTTCTAAAATCCTTAAAAAATATAGATTTTTTTAAAATATTTTTCTAAAATCCTTAAAAAATATAGATTTTTTTAAAATATTTTTCTAAAATCCTTAAAAAATATAGATTTTTTTAAAATATTTTTTCAAGTCTTCAAAAAAACCCGAATTTTTTAAAAATATTTTTTTCAAGTCCTCAAAATAAACCCGGATTTTTTAAAAATATTTTTTCGAGTCCTCCAAGTTGCTCCCATGGTAGAAGTTTAGAAGGAGATATCTCGAAAAACATATTTTCGTATACGACCTTCAGACGGGATTTTCCACAATATATGAGCCAGTAGTGAACCCAATGGCAATAGGTAGGCAGTGGGGGACCCCATGACAATAGGTAAGGCAGTGGGGAACCCTATGGCAATAGGTGAGTCAGTGGCGAACCCTATGGCAATAGGTGAGTCAGTGCCGAACGCTATGGCAATAGGTGAGCCAATGGCGAACCCTCTACCAATGTGTCACCCTAAGCCCATAGGTGAAGCAGTGGTGAACCCTATGCCCATAGGTGAGCCAGTGGTGAACCCTATGGCAATAGGTGAGCCAGTAGTGAACCCTATGGCAATAGGTGAGCCAGTAGTGAACCCTATGGCAATAGGTAGCCAGTGGGGGACCCTATGCCATTTGAGATTCATGGTGAACCCTATGCCAATAGATGAGCCAGTGGTGAACCCTATGCGAATATGTGAGCCAGTGGTGAACCCTATGCCATTTGGGATTCAGTGGTGAACCCTATGCCCATAGATGAGCCAGTGGTGAACCCTATGCCCATAGGTGAGCTAGTAAAAAACATTTCTAGACTTCCTTTATTTCTTTGAAGAATTGCGGATAATATTGCAACAATATACCCTTACATATCCGAATCTTCCTTTCTCAGGCTCAATATTTGATAAAGATACAAAATTTCTATTGAGTTCTTAATTAGGGTTGGACAGGGAGTCGAATTTTTGTGTTCTCCCAATTTTGCCTCCACCTGACGGTGATTCTTTTCAATTCTACTCTCTATGTTTATAAACAATTTCTCATTTCTGCATAATTTGTGTAAAAATTATCGTAAATTAATTTTTCAATTTTAATTACAAAAAATGTCATTTCTTTTTCTTCTCCAAAGCAGAGCCGAGTTCATACGTCAAGATAGCTTGAGATCTGACTATTTGAGTGATCGTGACTCACGCTATGGCATTGTACAACAGGCTTCCATTGAAAGCACCGATTCGAGAATGTGTTATCTGACATCGTCTGAGGTAAGTGAATGCATTTCTTGATTATTAAAAAAAATCATAAAAAATTCTGAATGCAAACTCAAATTTGAAACTCAATCAAAAGAATGAAAGTAGGATATTTACAAAATTATAAAAATATTTATATTAAAAAATATATATAAAAAATATTAGCAATGAAAGGCACTAGAAAAAAGCATATGCGGCATATTCATGCCAATTTAATGTTTCTTAATATTTTTTTTACACTAATTTATAATAAAATGTTAAGCTGTGATATTTTTAAACTGGAGCATAAAAAATCAGGAAATTTTTTTTTCGTAACTTTCTTAAATGTGAAAATAATTACTATGAGTAATATATAAAATAAAAAAGGAGTTCTATATGGCAAGTAAACTCGTCGTTGATTTCAATTATAAAATATAATAACTATTCGTCTTTTCCACAAATTACTGGGAACGCCAAGTTTTAAAATGTTTTTTTTATGAAAGCTCTAATAACGTATACGTTATGTGTGTGCAGTATACGGATGAAATTATGTGACAAAAAGCCCATAAAAAATTGATTGAAATGTATATCAACTATTATATCTCAAAATATGATGCAGATTTTTAACATATTGGGAAATATGTTATTTCATAGTCAATATGAAAGAACGGGTAATTTTTGGGGTTTATAACTTTTTTTAAAATAAACATATCAAAATGAGTAAAATTATTTTTTTTATTTAGTTGTTTTTAACATACCTTCATTTCTAGAAACCAATTCCTGGTCCGCATAAAATAAAATTTCGCACTGAAACAATATGAAAAAACAATTAAATAAGTAAATAAACAAGTCGACAAATAATAAATAAATTTTATTAAATAAATAAATATTTACAAAGTGCAATTTTTTTCAAAAAGTTAACCGTGGATGCTTTTTTATGGCACCGCAGGTGGACGTATTTTTATAGCTATATTTATAGTTTTTAGCTATATTAATTGGCTTAAAAATCCCTAATATGTTGGGGTTGTCTCATGAAAATTACGCTTTTAGATTTATATATATTGGTCGAAATTCGTCTGAGGTCGCTTGGAGAAGGTCAAGTTATATTCGTCCTTCCGACTGTAAAATCAATGAAAGTGCTGCTTGATTGAAAACTTGTTCTATTTGTATACCCTATACCACATAGTGGTAAGGGTATTATGTCGTTGTGCATTTGTTTGTAACATAGAAGGAAGGAAGCGAGATAGACCCATAGTTACTTTTGATGATCTGCATTGAATCACATTCTGATTTGACTTATGCATGTCCAGCTGTCAAGGTATTTTTTGAAATTTCGAGATCGAGATGAAATTTTACACAAACCATTTTTTTCGTTTAAGGATGAACCCCATTGAAATTGGAGATAATCGGTCTAAATTTAGGTATAGCTCTCATATATATATTCATCCGATTTCGGGTTAATTGTGCACCAAATGTCCAATATCAGTCCAAATTACCCGAATTTTTGACCATCCGACCGAATTCAGTCTAGGGTCAAGTACAACAAATTTGGTGAAAATCGGTTTGGCTCGGATGTAGCTATAGCTCCCAAATATATATTTTTCATCCGAATTGGGGTTTTAAGTCCCTCACATTCGTAATATGCACTACACAAGAATGATATTTGGTACCAGATATCAGATACAGTCCAGAAATACCTCCGTCAAACTTGATCAAGAAAGGTTCAGATTTGGACATAGCTCGCATATATATGTTTAACCGATTTCGGATTAATTGAGAACTCAATAGCCAATATCAGTCCAAATTACCTGAATTTTGGTACATCCGACCAAATTCAGTCTAGAAGCATCATCAAATTCGCGAAGCCGGTGTTAAAAATATAGTGAGAAAAAAATGTTAAGCCCCAGTCGAAGGACAGCTATTTAAAAGAAGTATGAAATTTAGAAAAAAAATTGGTTAGCGTAAGCGGTGTTGGACACCGGCAGAAGACCGGTCAGTTAAAAAATTATGTAATTAAAAAAAAAATAGTTCGCTTAGCCCGTGCTGAACATACTGGCCGGAGGCCTCTAAATTTTGGCAGCACGAAATTTAGAAAAACTGAACAGAAGGTTCGAACAGAATCGGGTTGTTCGGGTTTAAATACCCATATCTTTTTATCCGAGAAAGATAATATCACATACAGGGTGAGATAAAAAACTGCAAAAAAGTCAAACGCCATAATGTTATTATTTTTAAATTTATTGAATGAAAGCAAAAAATGTAGGAAATAGAATCAAATTTTAGAACAAATTAGGGTGGCGCGTGCAGTGTGCGATAGTGCTGAGTACAGTTGGAATGTCCAGGGTCTGCAGCCAAAATGTTTGCGAGCCCAATGCTTTAATAAACCCTCCAGAATATGTTCGCGATAATATTCGGCATTTATTCTGATGCCTCGGTCGATTAATACGAGCGGAGAGCGACCATCGGCTGTTATGGCGGCCAGCGCCAAAATGCTTGCGTGCCCAAGGCTTTAATACACACTCCAGAATATTTTTGCCATAATATTCGACATTTACTCTGATACCACGGTCGATTAATACGAACGAAGAGCGTCAATCGGTTGTTATGGCGGCCCATACCATCACCATGGCCGGCGCTGGAGTTCTGGTGGCCAACCAAAGGTGCACATTACATTTTCAGCTGACCTCTTTGGCAAGTAAACACGACCATTTTGTTTGTTTATAAACTGCTGGACAACGAATGTTTTCTCATCGGAGCCGGAGAAAACAAAATTCGGCAGTTCCCCACTTTCGGCCAAGCGAATCAACTCTTTAGCTCTTTTGTGTCTATTTCCTTTTTGTTGCGGTGTAAGTTCTGGCACGTTTTGGAATTTCAATGGCTTTATCCCGAGCTCATTTTTCAATATTTGCCGAATGGAATATTACGATATGTTCAGCTCACGAGCCATTTTCGGCCACTGCAACGCGGGGTTGCGATCAAGTCGCTTCTTTACTTTTCGAAGCATTTCTGCTGATGTTGCTGTTTTTTTTCCGACCATTTCCTTGACGTCGCTTCTGGCTACGCTACCAGTATCACGGTAACGAGCAAGGGTACGGGGCAGAATAGATTTATTCACATTTAAATGCTGGAGTTTTCTAACGAAAGTCACTTGTGGTTCTCCAGCCAAACATAAAGAAATCACACCATTACCCTTGAATTTTATCACGAATAACTTTTTTTCTGGACAATTCTCACCAAAATGCTTTTTTATGCTTGTAAACCATATAATGAGCTGTCACTAGAATAATTTTAACAGCTGTCGAACGAATGGCATAGAAATGACAACAGTCTGAAGTTGGTTACAGTTTTTTTCATCGCACCCTGTAAGCACTCAATTCTCTTCAAATTTCACACATTTAAACATATTTGCTAACACAAGATCTTTTGTGATGGTAATATATATTTGTGAATCCCTTCTGGCACCTCACCCACAAAGGGTCACAATTTTCAATACTTTGATCTATTATAACTTGCGAAACAAATCAGCGATTCTTTACATCGTGCCATATGCAAATATTTCTTTCAACCAGAAACCTAAGATGAATGTGGAATTTATGATTTCGCAGAAAATGGGACATAAATGTTCAATGTTCTTGTAACTTTGCCAATACCAAAATTTTATATCTGAATTAGAAGAAGTTTGTATGGACTTCGTTCGACTATATCTGGCACCTCTCACACATTTTAACATTTTTCTAAAAATTTTCCCATATCTCGTAAAAAGTGAAGGAAGTTGTCGATATAGTCCAAAAGTATAGCCCTCATATATCGATACCTTCCGATATTCCGTATTTGGATGATTTTTGCCACATTTCTTGGCGGATTTGTCAGAAAATTTGTATTTGTGTGTCCAAATGGGTTCTACTAAATCCGTTGGCGAAAAATTGTATGTGTAGATTTAGCAGAACAATTTGCATTGTGTCTAGGATGGTTGGTATTGAAAATGAGATATATCGGTCCACGATTTGGTATAGTCCCCATATAACGCTACCTCCCGATATTCGGTATTTTGATGATTTTTGCTCGATTTTTTCACGGATTCTTCCGAAAAGTTGTATTTGTGAATCATAATGGGTCCTAGTTCGTGTGAAGAAACATGTATGGGTCGTTCACGTTTTGGTATAGTCGCCATATAAAGGTACCTCCCGATATTCCGAATTTTGATGATTTTTACCCGATTTTTTCACCGATTTGTTCGAAAATTGGTATTTGTGTGTCCAAATGGGTTCTACTAGCTCCGTTGGCGAAAAATTGTATGTGTAGATTTAGCAGAACTATTTGTATTGTGTCTAGGATGGTTGATATTGAAAATGGGATATATCGGTCCACGTTTCGGTATGGTCCCCATATAAAACGTACCTCCCAACATTCGGAATTTTTATGATTTTTGCCAGATTTTTTTTCACGGATTTGTCCGAAAATTGGTATTTGTAGATCATAATGGGTCCTACCTCGTTTGAAGAAACATTGTATGTATGGGTCGTCCACGCTTTGCTATAGCCATCATATAACGATACTTCCCGATATTCCGTATTTTGATGATTTTTGCCAGATTTTTTCACGGATTTGTCCGATAATTGGTATTTGTGTGTCCCAATGGATTCTACTAGCTCCGTTGGCGAAAAATTGTATGTGTAGATCCACGTTTTTGTATAGCCTCCATATAGCGATACCTCCCGATATTCGATATTTTGGTGATTTTTGCCACATTTTCCCATGAATATGTCTTAAAATTGACATTTTTGTGGGTCATAATGGGTTCTAATGTTTCCTTTACCCTATGGTGGAGGGCATTTAAATGTTCGGCCCGCCGAACTTTATGTTTTTTTTTTACTTTTTTTTCTGACAAGTCATAAAAAAATCCATCACTACAAAAACAAAACGTTGCTGTGAAAAAGATCTGCCAATAGAACTTGAGTCGAACCTGGAGAGTTTCTAGTGTATAATTCGCATATGCTAATTTGCAATAAGTTCGAAATATATACTACTTTCCAGAG